GAGTGATGGTGTCCCCACTGAGGCTCGAACCCAGTGCGCATAGTCTCAAACGCCAAAGCGTTATCCACTAGACCATTTGGGCCACGAGAGCCACCTCTTCTGCAACGAGTGTTATTAATTATTTAATTGAATTTAGATTCTCCTGACAAAGCTTAAAATTGATGCACTGAGAGACACGATTAAGGGGCTTGACTATTATTGTCGATACGTAGATGATGCCTTCATCGTTTGTGATAGAAATCTTAATAAACAAGAGCTTCTGAATGCTGTCAATAATGTTCATCTAGCTATTAAGTTTCCATGTGAAGAAGAAGAAGAAAGTAACAGTATACCTTTCCTAGACCTCCTCCTCACCAAGAAGGCAGATGGATATCTGGGTAGGAACCTAGTTAGGAAAAAGACTTAGGCGGATCAGTACATCCATTTTCATAGCTTCACACTGATTCAATACAAAAGGAACTTAGTTAAGTGTCTCAGTTAGAGAATAAAACGCATTTGTTCAGATGAATGCATTAAGGTAGAAATGTGCAAACTGAAACTTACACTACAAGAAAATGGATATCCAGAGAACTTCCTAAAAACGTACATGTCGATACCTAGTGATAGGGTAACGATGGATACCGTAGATAAGAAACCTTTGTATCTTAAGTTAAATTACAAAGGGGAAATTGCAGCTGACATTCTAAAATGTCGACTTAGTAGAGCGGTAGAAAGAACATTTCCTGCAGCTAAACTGGTACTCAGATTTTCAACTAAGCTAGTAATCACACAATGAGTCAAGGATAAATTATCAAAGACGGCCTCATCAGTGTGTATCTATGAATTCAGCTGCTTACGTGGAGCTAGTTAGATTGACCGTACTCAGAGGGCTTTATCCATGCGCGCACAGGAACATGTACCTGTGTGGTTGAGTAAAGGGGTAACCAAATGAATAAATAGTGTAGTCTTAGTCCACGTTAGATGCTGGACACTCAGTAAAACCAGAGCAGGCGTTCTCAGTTATTTACTTTCTATATATATATATATATAATATATATATCATTGACTTATTCTGTCGCATTTTATTTCATGTTCTCATTGACCATGCATATTTAGAACTAACTGACTGTTGTTCCATCCCATCTTATACTTGTTCCACAGTACATTTCTGATATGATTCTAATTTGCCTTTACTGGCTGTTGTATGCTTAAATTAATGGACTTATAATTGTAGAGCCTGAAGAATTTATTGAAACTACAATTGTTCGGTCTAAGTATTTTTGTTCTGAAACACATACCCATTTCATCCTGTTCTGTACAGTCCACAATTGTCCATAATCCCTCATCTCCTCTTCACGTGACCTCCTTTATATCACCGTGCGATCGACGCCCAACATGAAGTTTCCCATCCACCTTCCACTTCAAGGGTTTGGAGTTCGACATCACTTAACGGTCTTCTCAACTTGTGTCCAACCTATCTGCATTTCCTTCGGTATATTTTTGGGGAAAATGGTTCTCGGTTGATCCGTTCGCAGAGTTCCTTATTGCTTGTCCTTTCTGCCCAGCCATGTGGTCTGCGGTATCGAGGCAATGAAGGCAGATGTTGATAAAAGTCTGCAGCATCCCGCTGGAAATGCTCTCCATGAAGTAGGGTCCAAGTCTCTGACCCATATAGAAGAACTGACTGACTTGACACTAGTGCTTACAATTCGGATCTTGTTCCTTATGCTGCGTGCAGCAGATTTCCACACTGATTTCTGAGTAATGAATGCCTGTCTTCTTTGCCTGATCCTCCCTTTCACCCCATCATCCGTGCCCCTGGTACCTGAAACAGTTCTACCTAGATAAGTGAAAGAGGTGACCTAGCCCAGATTTCTCTCACTGATAGTGATTGGTGTTTGTTGTTGTTGTTGTTGCCTGGTTGGTTGGTTATCTTCATTACCGCTATCTTCTCTGTGTTCACTTGAAGTCCTGTCTTCACTTCCTAACCCTCCTGTCAACTTGTTGATCTTTTCCTTTGGATCTTCGAGTTTGCATGACATAAGACAAACATCACCTACGAAGTCCAGATTTCATAGAGTCTTCTTATCCGTCCAAATAACAACAGAATAGGTGAAATAAAAGGAGCGCAATTTCATACTATCTTGACTATAATTTTACTCGTTCTATTCATTACTTTTTAGTTTTTTGAAAGCTGAATTCTGTTAAGAAATTGACTCTAATTTGCATTCATTTTTTATTTTCCTTTACTGAAATAAAATGCAGTTAACAATATAGAGAATAACTTTATGTATAATTTTCAAGAATACGGAGATATGAATGGTAAGGTAAATGAAAATTAAGACCTTGATGAACTGATGGTTGTTGTACTAGTCCACCCTTTTACTCCATCGTGTTCCAAGTGGAATATATGACTTCAAGCATTACGCTTTGAAGTTCCAGTAGCTGCGGTGTTTTTACGGAGTTATGTCGTAAGTATCACTCCCAACATTCCCTCTTTTTCTGAGCTTATTACTGGTTAGTAAACCGTTCGAGGTTTAGGAGATCGATCCTAAATCACGCACGTAGTTGGAGAACATTCTATCGTTGAGTTACTATGCCAACAGTCCTCTACTCTATTCAAGTATTGGTTTGTAGCGATTTGATTGGTTACAGGATTTTCATCATGAGCTGACATTAGTTAGAGAACCATTGGAAAACAAGCTGGGAGTACAGGACAGCTGTTTCGTCACACTAGTTTGGGACTCTTCATCAGTACGCACCCACCGGGATTCGAACCCACGTCCTTCTGGTTTACAAGACGAGCTCGTAGACCATTAAGCCACTGGGACCCGATCCAATGGCCCACGAATTCTAACTTCTGCCAATTCACAACATAGCGCGACCCCTAGCCAATGTCTTCGGCGAGTATTTGTCCTCACACCCGACCAGCTGCACCCTACTGGTCACGACTTCTCACTAGAACCCCAGGATCGGGTCCCATTGGCTTAATGGTATACGACCTCTACTCTATGTTTGACTGGCTGTGAGACGTAACTTTCAAACAGCGTACTAAATGAAGATCATCCTAAACATTTCTGCTAAAAACCAATCGTTTTCTTTACTATTTTTGAGTTCAAGTTGATTTAGAATACTTGATGAACAGATAAAAGCTTTTCTTTGAGTTTAGTACAAACTCTTAGTAAGTAACTGAGAGTCACTGGTCTATTGTTAAAATCCAGCATCCGAGAACTTATTAACTCCACCCCATACTTTCGGCAAATAAAGTACAGTCCTAACCAAGACGTATCTGGCAGCCAAACTAGCCTCTCTACTCTCTGAAAGTGCTGCTTTTTGACACAGTCAAAAATCGACAATCACGCAGTATATTTTACATTCAAATGTGTAGATCAGTTCACATGTAATTGTAGTTACTTTGAGAGGAAGAAAAGAAAAGCGTATGTCAGATTCTTTGGACATGTACCAAACAGCCTTTGGTTTAAAGGGGCCAAATATTTTAAACTCGTCAGCTACCAGACACTCATCAGATACAGGATACCGATTGGATGCATCAGGAGCATTTCGAATAATCAACAGACAAAACAGTACAAGTGATTTTGGGTTTGCTAAACTTTGTTCGCCTTCCCCCACCCTTCTCCATTTCTCGCCTGACTTTCACATTAGACTTAATTTTTGACCTTTTGAATTCTACTCACTCACTGTATTACATAATAATCATCTTCTCATTCGACTTTGTACACACCAAATTTTGATTTTCTAATCTTAGGAGTTCTAATCATTGTATTTTACTGTCTCTGATTACGCAGTTATCACTGACTTATCACTACCCTAAAAGCGCAACCGTTAATCTTTATAAGAAAATTCGCTCTTATAAAATAATTTAAGATAACCCCATCGCTCTTGTGTTTTGTTTCACTATGGCTCTCTCTTACAATAATCCTTATTGGAGGAATGATTCACAACGATAAACGAAATGTGTGTTAAAACTGCATTATATAACTTGTCTTAATAAATATTATGGGTCGTACGTGGCTAATAAGAACTGGTGAAATCAAGTGGATCCTCATTATTCTGCACCAATGTCTGTTCTGTCTTTATTCAAATTTGTAAAGAGGAATTCGTCTATGAAATAAATATTGTAATACTGCAACCTTCAACAACAAAATTCGGATTTTTAATACAAACGTCAAGTCAGTTCTTCTATACGCATTAGAAACTTGGCAGGTCACAAAGAATATTTCCAACAGCCTGTTGCAGACCTTTATCAACAACTAACTGTCTTCGCTGGCTCTATACTGAAGATCAGATGGCCGGAAAGAACAAGAACCAACAAGAAACAAACTATGGGAAGAAACAAAACAAGTATCAATCGCCCAACAAATATGCAGGAGAAAGTGGAGATGGATTGGACACTCGCTGAGGAGGCCACTCGCTGGGTGACATCGCGCGTCAGGCCAACGCTCGAGTGGAACCCGAAAGGGAAGCGGCGAGTGGGACGTCCAAGGGTGACACGGAGGAGATCGTGTGATGAGGAACTGAAACAGTATGGATTAACATGGATGCAAGTGAAAAGTACACCAGAAGACAGCAGCAAGTGGAGACGTGTAGTTGCAGCCCTATGTTCCACTAGGAACCCAAGGGAACAATAATAATAATACTGCAAGCTGGTCAGCACCATGTCACTAAGCTAGAGACTGCCTACTCGGACACCAACTTAGTCTAGTTTTTCACTCAGAAATCAGTCATCAGTCATCTCAACTCTCCTAATCAATGAATACATTTCATGTTTCCTCCTACAATGCACAAATAACACACTTTAAATTTCTAGAAACACCTCCATAGGTAATATGTCAAACCCGATTACTTTTGGGTAGACATGCTGTCATGCATGGAAATTCTTTTAAAGAAGAAGTTTACTTCCCACCTTTTTTGTATCATTTCGTCAGTTAAATGTTAAGTGGATAGTTTCGCTCACCCCCTTATTTCATCTTCCATTTTAATGCCCTGTTTTTAAATTTTAGATTTCAAACAAAACCTGTACCACTATTGCGAGTTAAACCAAAGGATGAAATAATCTTTGTTTGTGCACAAGAATCACTTTATATTTTATGGGTAAGTTTATTATATTACCAAGACTTTCTTTCCTTCTAATAATATGATAATTAATACTGGTATACAGCCGAAGAAAAAGAGGCTTAAATGTCGTGAGAAGAATGAATTCACATAGAAGAAGACCTCCTTTTTCTCCGCGCATAATGAATAAATTTGGAAGACAGATATTGGGAGGACTCAGTCAGAAGGGATTCTTAGACTTCGTTTGATCTGTAACACTTAAAAAATTTATATTCCCTCCAAGTATTGAGATCTGAGTCATGTAGTGCTAAAGTCACTGTCGTTCCCTCTGAGCTATTCAGGTCATGAGTGACTTTCCTTAGAATGAACAAATGCATACAGAAGCTTTTTAACTCTTGTATTTCTCGTTATGATGACAAAGATTTTTAACTTCATAGGATCATTTTAATAAGATCATTCTTGATGAGATTGTTCACTCACTGGATAGACCTTTGACATCATTCTAAAAAGCATAATCTGTAGACATATGTTGATCCTTCTTTGTCCAGCATTATTTTGTGAAAGCTAATTTTCTCATGAGCTGACATCTTTTAGAGAACCATCGGGGTTCGAACCCAGGACCTTCTGGTTACAAGGTGATCTCGTAGACCATTAAGCCACTGGGATCCGATCTAATGGCCAGCTCATGAATCCTAACCTCTGCCAATTCATGACATAGCGCGACTACTTCGCAGTATCTTCGATGAGTAATTGTCCTCACCTTCAACCTGCTGTACCCTACTGGTCACGGCTTCCCACTAGAATCCCTGGTAACTGCCTGAATTTAGAATTCATGTATGATTGGATTGGGTCCCAATGGCTTAATGGTCTACGAGGTCGCCTTGCAACCAGAAGGTCCTGGGGTCGAAACCTGGCGGTGTAACGAAACAGCTGTCCAGTACTCCCAGCTTGTTTTCCAATGGTTCTCTAACCGATGTCAGCTCATAATGAAATCCTTGAACCAATCAAACAAAATCCCTACATACCAATACTTGATAAAACTAATTTTGTTTGATAAAAAACTGTCCCATTATAGTTCATCACAACAGTATCAGTCATTTGGGCATACACCATACATTTAAGGCGTTGTATTTCTTTAACACAGGTAACACAAATGAAAATTTATTTATTCCATGGAACTTATGTTGACAATATTAGATAATCTACTGAGAAAATAATTAAGCCTGAGACACAAGCCTGATCTGTAGCAGGATTTGGTCTGTCACCGAACTATAGTTCTGTCCTCTGTGATGCAAAGCTGTCAATGTAAATAATACAAAAAAGATATTAGACATATGAAAGGCAACTTGTAGCACCATTAGAGAGTCTTATAGATTTCATTAATATTTGTGTAAAACTTGGGCACTGTGGTAGTAAGTAATTCCATATTAGTTTGTTTATTAGATATATCACACAGTGAAACAGTATTATTTACTGGATGACGTTTCGAACAAAATGTATTGTTCATAATCATATCAATTGTAATCACACGGCTTTTAATGACGACACCAACAATAAGGAATCTAAATCATCAGTAGTAATTCCACACAAGGAAGGAACCTCGGAAGCCTTACGCAGAATTCTTAACAAGGCAGGAATAAAAATGGCATTCAAACCCACAAACTCAATTAGAAACAAGCTTTGTCGGTTAGAGGATCACTCCTGTGTAGCCTTTAAAACAAAACAATTTAGTTTATCTAATACCCTGCAGTGATTGTCAGGTCAAATACATAGGTCAAACTGGTAGAACAGGGGCAGTCAGACTAGCTGAACATAAAAATTAGCAAAATCTAGATTAGTTGACCCGAATAAAATAAGAAATCTAGAGAATAGTTCACCTATACCACTCATACATGCAGTTACACACAACCATACAATAGGATGCATAGGATAGGATGACAGTTTTAAAATCTAATGTCACAGGGTATGGGGAGAGATTGATAACAGAAGCTTTGTTTATCGAATCAACTGCAAATACATGTAATAGGAGTGATTCATCACCTGTCTCTGATTTCTGGAAAATTCTGCTACCCATACGACAAATAGGAGAAAACAAGTAAAGCTATAAAACTCAAGTGTCAAAGTCGTGTGATCACAATTGATATGATTATGAACAATAAATTTTGTTCGAAACGTCATCCAGTAAGTAATACTGTGTGATATATCTTATAGATTTCAATTTTGTTTTGTCCTTGAAGACGGAAATCTGCAACATAAAACTGATGGATTCTTTGACAGTAATGATTAGTCCTTTTGTTCCAGTTCAATGCTCTTTAAAAAACATTATTTAGCAAAGAAAATGTGGGACTACCGAGAGAGAATCTTCAGCAGGACATGATGTTTTAGTAGTTCTCCTAGTCATTTTTCTAGTTGGTTGATATGGAAACTTAAACATATTTTTAGAATTCGGTGAAGCAGTATGCCTGTGTGCTCTGTGTGCATTTTAGGTAAACTGTATTATCAAGCATATTGGTCAGATTTTTTTGCTTCACGTTCCCCAATGGAACATAGGGCTTCAAGCTAGTTGCGTGAAGTTTATGTAGCAGTGTTTATTTTACAGGATGGAGTTGCTAGCCTCATGTCCAACTTTTCCTCTTCACCAGCATTATTTCTGGCTCAGCAAGGTAAAGGAGTGTGTCGGCCGGGAATCGAACCCCAGACCTTGTGCATGGTCGGCTAGCGTCCTAACCGCTTTACCACCGATGCATTCCTTAAAATCCTAAGTGATTAGATAATTATCTGGAAAGCATTGATAACAATGATGTATTTCTCGTTACATTTAACCAAAAAGACCTATTTTAGAATTTCTAGTGAAAGAATTTATGAAGTACAGAAAAGCTCATCACTGACTTACTGCTGAGAAGTGAAAAGAAGAACCTGTTTCAATGTCAGCAGAGTATAATTTCGAAGTTGTATTACTCATCAACAAAATACTAATAATTAGAGTGAAGTTCGAATTACATCCATCTAGAACTGATGTCAGCGTACGATTAAAAAAATTGTCTGTTGAAGTGTGAAAAAGAAACGAAAATGGAGTTATTCTGTTGGTGTCTAGATGATACCTTTATAATCTATGCCAGTGTCTCTCAAGTTGTTCGTCTCTGGGCATCTTCAATTGTGCTCATCTGGAAACCCATTTCACCTACAAAAGGGAACACAACATATCTTTACACTTTTTCGTCTTTGTATTAAAGAGAAAAAGTATATTTTCAACTATCAGTTTTCGATATACATACTTCCCCAACTGTGAGCCTTTGAAGTACAAACCCAGATTAATTAAAGACTGAGCATTTAGAACGAGATCAGTATGCTCTGTAGAGTACGTAGATAAAAGTTGCAAGCCATCCAAAGTATTTTAAGTGGAGGCAAATATCCTGACAAGCACATTATGTTTATGCAATTGCTGTTCAGAATATCTGCTCTTACGCCTTACTAGTTATCCACGGTTCAACTAGAGATTTACAGACACTTTGACTATTCCATACTGAACCACACCAACTTGACGCTTTCTGTGCATGCAGTTATTTAGAAAGTACAACTGGATAGGTCCTTCTTCGATATAGGAAACATCTTCCCTACTGGTTTGGAAGAGGCAAAACTGAACTCGTCAGAAGTTTTACTGTAGCACATCCAATAAACATACACTTTTAGTGTACTCAGGTCAATGTTAACTACAGTTGTTCTACCTCTTCTTCCCATAAACATATTCAGAAGAAGACATCTATGGAATTTATATCTCTTGGCCCTTTCTAGACTTTTCATCTTCTTGAGTTCCGAGTGCACCATAGGGCTTCAAGCTTGAGATTTCAAGTTTTAGTAGTATTCATGACGTTTTTACTGTGTGAGTTTGCCAGTCTCATACAGAAACTTCTCTCCTTACCAGTTTTATTACCAGATAAGCGAAGTTCAGGGGTTTGCCAGCTAGGAATCGAAACCAGATCACATGTGTCTTTAACGAGCATTTTACCACTTAGCCACTAACGTTCTCCACTTTAGACTAGATAGTATAACTTTTTAATGAGTACATTTCTAGTCTTATTTGGTTTTCTTCCCTTTGGCTCCTTAGCTGAATAAGCTGCATGCTTTACTATAGTAACCTTAAAACATTTTGTTGAATTCCCCATATTATTTAGACTGATAACTTAATGTCATCATGATTATCTTTAAGATTCCAAATGAAACATTTAAGCCTTACTGTCTTCTGCCTGATTTATGGCATTTTTGTGCAAACTATTCATCATACACATACTACAACCTTGAAATAAGTAATTAGTTCTCCTTTATCATAACATTATATAAAATTGAATGTCAGACAGTCTTTTTAGCAATTGTGCTCCAGTGGTCATTTTTTGCATAGAAATGCTCAGTCATCCTTATTGCTTTACAGAATGAAAGTGGTATAATGTTGAATCCGTAATTGTATTTTTTCGCAAGAATTGAATTCTCCACATATTTGCTTATCGTTATATTCATAACAGATTTAATTTTGTAGGCACAAAATCTTAGACAAAATTTATTGTAAAGACTTTACACAGGGGTATTCTTCAGGAGATATATATATCTTGTCGTCAACACCATTCAATCCTATAAATACAGTCTTTCAACAGCGAACTCTAACCTATCATAATTCGTCAAAAAGAACGCTTATCATCTACTATGATCGGTCGACTGCACCTTCCTCTTAACCTCCAAATATAAATTCAACAGTGAATAGTCACTTTTACTTGTTCTTCGGGTGTTCTAAGTTCGAGATAAGATCTAGATAAGGAGAGTTGACGGAACTTTAAGAAGGTCCATCCATAGGAACCCCACATGGAACGGCCAACTGACAAGCTTCTACAGCTAGGTACCAATCAGTCGGAAAAGAAACTTAATTAGATCTCTTGCCACTGGTGTCCGACGCATCTGCAGCTCTGATACCACGGAAGAAGAACTAAACTTCCTGAAAGATATCTTCATACAAAACGGTTACCCATCAAGATTCGTAGACAAAAACATCAAACAGAAAATCCAAAAGCAAGAGACGCCATCCTTGCCAAAAAAGATACTGCGTATGAACCTCAACTTCAAAGGAGACCTACTCAGTGACGTCCTTAGAAGGAGAATCTCCACCGGTTTAAGAAGAACTTTCGTTGTGGCAACATTGAGGGTAGTGTTCTCTAGTCGCCTGCTGGTCTGCAGAAGCCCAAAGGACGAGATCCTGCGCCTGATCACTTCTTTGTGTATGTATCAGTTCATCTATTGCTGTGGAGCCAGGTACATTAGTCGTTCGACTCGCATCTTGTCAAAAAGAGGCAAAGAACACTACCCAGCGTGGCTACTGAAAGGAAGTAATGGCTGCATAAGGACTGCAATAATAGAACACCTCGTCAACACTGGTTATTCCATCTCAACAAACGCCCCCTTCAAAGTAATCTACAAAGTGAAGAACAACCTTCCAGAGACAGTACGATTCCGTCTTCTTTGCATCGCAGAAGCCCTAGCCATTAAGCTAGAGGAACCAGAACTGTGCATACAAAAGAAAATTATTCAACCGCTTCTACTCCCATGGTAACAACTGTGTTGATTTGACTTAACTTTTGTTTGTATGCTTATTTTTCTACTTAAAACCCTTGTGTAATTCCGTATATTTTGTTTCCATGTACACCCTGAGTACAACTCTTTCATTAAACTATTCATGTTATTACGCAACCCTTCTTTAACAATCGTTTGTGACAACTCATCACTTTTTTTACTACTCTCTTATATCAACATCCAATTCATCTGAACTTACTAATTGTATTTTCGTTTGACATACACATACAAAACAACCATATATATTTGCGATTGTACAGTTATGAAAATGAATTCGCCGAAAAGAGACTCTTCGTTGAACTACTTGTCTTCTGTCTATTAAAGATCTAATCTGAAGATATATGCCAATGAAACATCTTAGGAATGAAAACTAACGGTACTTATTACACGTAAACAGAAAAAGTTATTTTATTTCATTACACGGTTTTTAATCAGTAAGCCGACTATGAACTCAGTCAATTTTGCACGCTCCTTTACAGTAAATTTCATTCTTACCGTAATTATTTACTGATATTAAAAGTCAATCTGAACGAAGAATATTCTTTTCAATAATTTCTCTTCAGGTTCTTACAATTATAAAATATAATATTTGTTGTCGTTACAATAAAGGCCAGTTATGCGGCAGATACATTTTTAACGTAGAATAACAGATCAGTTATGGGGTGTCAAAATCAATAGTCGTATTTGTGTGACAAACGTGCTAGGCTGAATTCGATTACAAAATATTGTAAAACGGGAGACAATGGTGGTGATTAATCATAATAGATTTGTAGAGTGTGGGGTAGGAAAATTGACAAGGTTATAAAAGGTGTCAGGTGAGTGGCTAGTACAAAGTGGTCTGTGTTAAACAGGAGATAGTAAGACTGCAATGGGAGGTTCATAATGAGATAACGAATATGTGAAATGAAACAGGTGGAGGCATATATTGAGAAAAGAGATAATATCGCTAATAATAAGACCGGATAGTATAAACGAAAAAATTCGATAATATTAAGAGAATGTTTGCATGAAGGGCATAAATTATGACGAATAATAATAATTGTAATAATAAAAATACTTGTAATAATAAGCAAAGGAAAAAAAAAGCCAAGAGGGTTAAGGGGAAGGAGCACTCTTGATGAGAAGAAGAATCATCAATCCAAGTTTGGCCACGGTAGGAACAGTGTCTGGTAGGACGTCGAGGAAGTGTAGAGAGTCGTTGCATTCTCCTTCGTAGGTGAAATGGACCGCTGGGTGAGCATTATTGAAGTTGCTCAGAATCAAATCACTACTTAACCCTTCACCGTACACTACAAAAGTGTCATCCATGTAACGACAATATATTTCCATATTTGTAAGGACAACAAATGTTATATTTTATAATTGTAAGAACCTGAAGAGAAATTATTGAAAAGAATATTCTTCGTTCAGATTGACTTTTAATTCATAATATGGGAATTTTCCACACTATCAAATTTACTGATATGTTGACAAATAAGCAACGGAGTGCTCTTTTAAGGTTCCCTTCTCTCACACTTATGCTTTTGGCCATGTATATATATATATATATCATTGTTTCCTCTTGTTAAGGGACTGCAGATGATGCCGAAATATACTTTCCATCTCACATTGTTGTCTGTTCTCGATTAAGTAGTGAGGGCTGAGTAGCTAGCGATTGCGTGATCATCGAGTCCGTCTCCAGCTTGGAGTCTCCATTTCAATTTCAAAGTTATTGCAAAGTATAAAAGTCTTTAAATATTCTCATTATTAATATTAGAAAAAGACATATAAGCAAACAATACTGTTTTCAATTAGACCTTCTTCATGCTTTACTCTAATTTACATAGACTTACCTATAAAAATTTTAACCAATGACGGTGAGTTCGTGGATCAAATATTAATAATAATAATGCGGTAAACGATTCGAACGTCACTAATAAGGGTGATTATAATGATAACAAAATAATGATAATAAGGTTTATGCAGGTGGCGATAAGAATAACGAAGGTAGTAATATATGTATATGTAGACAATTCAATAAATAAATTAGGTCAAATCTTAAATGTTGCATAATACTAAAGGTGAAGTGGACAGATATTCAGAGTTTAAATAAATATCATAAAAGTACGAAGAAAATGGAAAATAAGAAAGGGTGGGAGGGTTTTGATTAGAATTTACCTAGGCAAGCAAGGGAGAGACAAAGGTAGAACAAACTTCTTTTGTTGTATACAAAGACTAGGATTGTTCTTTCGAATTCCGTTCGAAAGGTTCAATGGGATGTGATAGATAACTTTGAAGGCACTTCTTCTGTCCACTTGGTGACTGCTATCAATCAAACGAGTCAAAATAGAATTTCTTATAGATTTTATTTGGCCTTTTTCGAACCATGAAGGAAGATGTTCATTCTTACTGACGTTCGAATCATTCATCACAGTATTCTTTTTATTATTTGATCCACAAAATCACCGTCATCAGTTAAAATTTATATATATAAATTAGTAAATTAGAGTAAAGCCTGAAGAAGATCTAATGAAAACAGTATTCTTCGCTTATATATCTTGTTCTAATATAGAAGTGGTGTTACCATTTTTTATTCCCTTACGTTCCCAGTGGAACATAGAGCTTCAAGCTACAGGCTTGAAGTTTTGGTAGCAGCGGTGTTTATTTTTACGGGATGGGATTGCTAGCCTCACGCCCAACCTTTCCTCTTTACCAGCCTTATTACTGGCTTAGCGAGGTGTCACCGTGGCATATATTTATTCCAAAATAGAGGGGAAACATCTCTTCATGAATAACTGCTGTTAAGATTACTTAAGGTTGTTATTATTTAATAAATAAATACATTGGGTCATAGGAGTTATTAAGAAGACAAGACAAGCTGAGTACATAGGCCGTGCCATGCGCCGACTTGAAAAAATGCGCTCGCGAACACTACCCAGCCTGGCTAGTAAAAAGAGACCAAAAACGTGTATATAGTTCAGTGACAGAAAGTCTGGTCAACTCAGGACATTCAGCGCCTTTCGAAAAATCCTTCAAAGTAGTATACAAAATTCAATCAAACCTGTCAAAGAGAGTCAGATCAAGACATCTGGGCATAGCTGAGGCGCCAGCTATCCAAAAGCTCAAACCCACGCTTTGTATCCAGAAGAAATACGTCCAACCCCTGTCCCTACCATGGCCATCATAAAGAGGTAAATTTTTTAGTAATGACGATCCCATCGCCTTTCTTATCTAAACTTACTGTTTATTCATGTTATTTTAAGTATTTTCTTAATTCCTGTCTACACTACCATATTTCATATCCACACTTCCTGTTTATTTTGTCATTTTACTATTTCTACATATTTAATCCCTGATTGCATAAACAATTATTCATCACACTCGTCTTTTATCCAAACATCCTGCATATTTTGTTATTTCTACATTTCTAACTCCCATTGCACAATGTTAATCTTCTTAGTTATTATAATGCTACTTTGTCTGAGTTTTACCCATCCCCCTATTTATTATGGCATTCTAATTCCTAATTGTAATTTTTATTAATTTGACCCTTAACCGGAAATTATTCTGGAAATTTCCCATCCATTTGATATAAATACACGAATGTACAGCCTAGATGATGAATTCGTCGAAAAGAAAATTTTCTTCGCTGCAATTGTCTTTTTAATAAATAAATGTTAGCTTAATACAATGGTAATTCATATTCAGCTGAAAGTTTGAGTATTGTCGACTCGAATATTCAACTTTCAACCAGTGAGTCCCAGTTTCGAATCCCGTTCCAACTGCAACCTGGACGATTAGACAGTATCATCAGCCTTTTCTCAATAGATGCCGCTCATGGGAGATGAAAACCCTTTTCCAGGTAGATAACTCCCAATCACCTAACCTCTAGATTGCCAAACAGACCACTTTTAAATAATTTTCTATTTCGACTCTGGTATTCATTTCAGCGTCGGTGGCACAGTGGTTAGGACTCTCACCGACCATGCACATGGTCCGGGGTTCGATCCCCTGCCGACGCACACCCGATATCTATGGTTGGCCTGCAAAATTTAGGCTACCGATATCCATGCTGAAAATTCCATACTTGTACTGAAAATACGGTGTGGCATCAAGCTGTAATCAAAAATAATAAAAAAAATTTTAAAAAATCATGACACCGTCATAATGAATTGTTTAAATGTATTAATAACTTTCGCTGTTTCCCAACATTTACAGACATATGAATATCAAGTATTTGAATCGTGTTCAATGTGGTTAAACGACAACTTAATGGTAAATCTTCTACTCAGATGTCCAGATAAATCAAGTCGAAGGATAAAAATGCGAGATGTTTCAAATATACGACAAAAGAAACTATCTAATCTAATAACAGATCAAAAGACAATAATGAAATCGTCTTCACAGAATTCATCCATTAAAAACTATTCTGGTTATCATTCACCTATCAGTAAACATAATCTTACACATATGATGGAATATTTGACTAATAGATCAAGTAAAATAATCAATAAACGATCATTGTTATCACTACAACCAGTAATACCAAACTCTCAGTTAACTGATCGTAAAAAGTATCCTTCACAGTTTACTTTGTTAGTAGAAGAATTCGCTTGGGCCAATGGGAATCCAAGTTTTCCTGTTAATCGTCCAGTTTATTTCCTTGGTAAGTACCTACATTTCTTTAAAATTATTATTATTATTGTTTCCTTTAATTCCTAGAGGAACATAGGGCTTCAGCCGTGCGTCTCCATTGCGTTCGGTTCTCTGCTAGAGTCTTCACGTGGCTCCAAGTCTGCCCACACGCTTTCATCTCCTCTTCACATGACCTCCTCCAAGTCACCCACCCTCGCACTGACGACCAACTCGCCGCTTCCCTTTCAGTCGGGTTCCACTCGAGCAATGGCTTGTCTAGTGATGTCACTTGATGGTTTGTTTCCTCAGAGTATGGCCAGCCAATCCATCTCCATTTCTTCCTGCCTATTTGTTTCACAATCGGTTCCTGCTGTGTTGGTTCGCTCATTGCCAGAGATCCCTGTTGCTGATCTTTTCTGGCTGGCCGGCCATCTGATCTTGAGTACTGAGCGAAGACAACTGTTAATGAAGGTCTGTAGTTTGTTTGAGGTGCTCTTTATGACGCGCAGTGCAAGTCTCTGATCCGTATAGTGAGTAGCACTGACTGACTTCACATTGGAGTTGAAAATCCGGATCTTATCTTCGTTTTCATGCTGAGTGCTGTTGACCTCCACACAGACTTGAGAGTAGTGAAAGCTTGTCTTGCTTTTCCGATTCTTGCTTTGATATCCTCGTCAGTTCCGTCCGCCTGTAGTTGAAACGATGCTTCCCAGGTCGGTTGGTGAAGGAGGTTGTTTCTTTCAGGTTCCTCCCATTTATGCTGATCGTTGTCTGTTGTTGTTGTTCTTGTCCAGGAATCTTCATCACCTCTGTTTTCTCTATGTTCACCTGAAGTGGCCTATCTTTGATGCTTCTTCTGCCAACTTGTTGCTTTTCGCTTGCATATCTTCCAGTTTGTGGGAAATCAGACATATATCATCGGCGAAGTCCAGATCCTCCAAGTTTTTTGTGTGAGTCCATTTTATGCCTGTTTCCTCATTGTCCGCCGCTGTTTGTCGCATTATCCAGTCTACTGCAATCAGGAAAATCATTGGCGATAGTAGGCAGCCAGCTTGTCTTACTCCTGTCCTCACTTCGAAGGATTCCGTTGTGGATTACTTGGCATGCAGCATTGTCGTATAATATGTTTATATTTAATATGAAGTCATAGAATATTTTGCTGCAGTGGAGTTAAGAAGTCTTTGTTTGCTGTTGCAACTAATAAGGGGTCTGTAGGCAGGAAATTTAAGTTTAGTCTGCGTATAAAGATGAGTTATGACAATCAGTAACTGTGATCATTGTACTACACCCTAAAGCTTAGTTTTAGCAACACGGATTTTGATTAACACAATCACTGTCTACTACCCTTTGTCTGAATGCCATTCTCAGTGCTTTTCTGAAGGAGAATAACTTCACACTAGTGACATTCAATTAGAGCTGCTGTCTATCGTGAACTAACAAAATAAGAAAATAACAAACCGATTGATTCCAATTAAGTGGCTAGATGACAGTATACTTAGCAAAATACCTTTCAAATCCTGGACACTATCCATCAGACTATGACTGAAAATAGATGAATCGGGTTTAAAACTTTTAGTGCTTTCAGATGTAAATCAATTTATGGAGTATAAAGACGTTCATTTCAACAGCTAATAAATCAAATATGGGGCTTATTTTCAAGTGACATACTAACCAGTCCCTAGAATGGGTTCCTAAAGGGAAGTGGTGAGTCAAGCATTTGAGGGTGACGTGGAATAGATCACGTGAAGGAGAAGTGAAAGCTTGTTGGCAATCCTGAAGTCAGTGTAAGGTGACGACAGACAACGGAGTGAAACAGAGACGTTCTAGTGAAGCCAATTGGAGGGAAATAAATAAATATATTTAATAATATTCATATTTATTCGTATTATTATTCCTTTGGACTCCAAGTGGAAAATAGGGCTTCAGAAGCGCATCTGCATTTCATTCCGTTCTCTGCAAACCTTTTAGACTTGCTCAAAAGCTTTCGTTCCCTCCTTACACAATCTCCAGTTAATTCACTCCTACACTCATGCTCAAGTAGCCGTTTCCTATTCGAGTTCCACTCGAAGGACTAGAGAGAGATATCGGCCTGTTGGAAATGCTTTTCATGATGCGGAGGCTAGTCTCTGAACCATATAGAAGAACTGACTGACTTGACATTACTGGTGAAAATCCCAGCGTTGTTCTTTACACTTAGTGCAGTAGATTTCCACACTGACTGTAGAGTGATGAATCTCTTGCCTTGCCAGTCCTGTGTGGTTATGAAATCGTCATCCGTTCCACCTGTAGTTGAAATGATGCTGTCTAGATAAGTGAGCGAAGTGACCTCGCTCAAATTTCTCTCCGGTTGATAGTGATTGATGCTTGTTAGGACTTCTCTACGCTCACTTGACATCCTGTCTTTGCTGCCTGCCTTTTCTGCCAACTTGTCGGTTTTCACCTGTAGACCTTCGCATTTATATTAGACATTAGACATTAGATCTAACCTATGTACACTTTCTCTGAATCTATTGTACACGTGTAATATGATGCTACTTATAAAAAAGCGGGTACATTGTAAAATAGTTTTGTATATAAGTGTGTTTAAAAAAGATTCCTTTTTCATATATTTTCATCTTGTTAAATGTTGACCTACATAGGTTGTTGTTTTGACTATGATGGATTGACCTAAATTAATAAATTAATGTGCAGAGTTATCTTCCACCATTATCCCTTGTTTGGTCCACTGTCAACTCCTCCCCCCCACACACACACACACAATAACATCTGTCAAATAATCTAGAAACTTCCCTCTACCTTTCTAGCTCTCTCCCTCTCCATTTCACTTATTTGTGAACATCTTTTCAATATACAATAAACAGCCAACAATTCCTCACATTTAAGACTATTAAGCATTTTGTTCAGCTTGTCTTCTCTTTCTGTCTTGTTATTCAAAAGTCTTATGTTTTAAGACAGGAAATTTAATTAAACTATTGAACATTGAATAGATGAATTGTTGGGGTATATTGAAACAGTTGAATAATTCACACTTTAGGCATATTTCAGCAGTCAACAGTAAACAGAAAAAAAAACTAAGTCAACGAAGGTCAGATAAAAAGGTATATGAGTCATAAAATATGACTGAAAAGACACTTTATCCACATGAAGGTTAGATAATATTTCTTTTTATCGACCCATCAAGCCGTCGACTAAGCAGTATATCTAGGAAAGATAAACAGTTATCTTCCTCTTCTACAGATGTAAGTGATATGCTATTTTTGACTTCATTCATTCGATTTAAAATTGAGGTAGCAGAACAAGACTTATCACTGATGATTACAATATCGTCTACATACCTTCTATAAAGTGGCACATTTTCGATTAAATCCTCCGATAAATTCTCAATGTGCTACATATAGATATCTACTAAAAGGGGCCCTAACGGACTTCCCATAGCAACACCATCAACTTGGCGGAAACAATCGCCTTCAAATGTAAACCTAACATTGTTAGTACATAGAAGTAATAAATCCCTTAAATAAGATATAGGGAACGGGATGAAAAAATTGTTTGTGGAAATATAATCACACAAAATGTCAACTGTTTTGAGCAAAGGCACATTGGTGAATAACGAGTTTACATCAAAAGAGTACATATTCTTGCTAAATGGTTAGTAGAATTATTGCATCCAGTTAAAACACAATTCTGTAAGTATGTGTTAAAAGATACATTTGAATTGACTGATTTTCTTGACAATAGTAATATTAATATTATGAACAAGAATATGTACTCTTTTGATGTAAACTCGTTATTCACCAATGTGCCTTTGCTCAAAACAGTTGACATTTTGTGTGATTATATTTCCACAAACAATTTTTTCATCCCGTTCCCTATATCTTATTTAAGGGATTTATTACTTCTATGTACTAACAATGTTAGGTTTACATTTGAAGGCGATTGTTTCCGCCAAGTTGATGGTGTTGCTATGGGAAGTCCGTTAGGGCCCCTTTTAGTAGATATCTATATGTAGCACATTGAGAATTTATCGGAGGATTTAATCGAAAATGTGCCACTTTATAGAAGGTATGTAGACGATATTGTAATCATCAGTGATAAGTCTTGTTCTGCTACCTCAATTTTAAATCGAATGAATGAAGTCAAAAATAGCATATCACTTACATCTGTAGAAGAGGAAGATAACTGTTTATCTTTCCTAGATATACTGCTTAGTCGACGGCTTGATGGGTCGATAAAAAGATCTATTTATAGAAAACCTACCTGGACAGGACAGTATCTTAATTACCACAGTTTAGATAATATTATTGATTAATTGAAGTGCTTGATGAGCAGTCCGAATTATAAACATAAACAAGATTAACTCAACGAGAGTCAAAAAAAATCAAAGTTGACTATCGTAGTAAGGCGAATAAAACAACGAAGCGTGAAAAATAGCAACAACAGAAGAAAAATTGAAGGTTAAACAAAAAACAACGTGAATTTCACGAGCAAGATGAAAAAGGGCAAGTGAGACAGAAAACAGGAACATGAAAAAGTACAAAACAGAAACACCGCATAAACAAATAAAATTGAAAGGCCAATAAACAAACCAAAAGTCACCAAACCACTGACACAATGACACGAATAATCCCACGGGAAAACTCGCTAAATACCTTAAATATACATTCGAAATTACCATCAACGAATAGTGCAACTAAGAGAAAGACTGGGAAATAGGACATCCCTAAAATGCAGGAACAAAATTCCACAGTATCTGTAACAAAAAATAAAAACACATACAGACTGAAAACACCCATAAAACTGGTGGAAGACACACAGAAACAAATAAAACATCATAAAATCGACGAAATCGAAAGTAAAGCCGATATCAGAGACACACGCAGAAAACCTAAATAATTGCGATATACGCGCAGAAAAAAATTAAAAAATGTAAACAAATACACAATCACCAAGAAAACAAGCGGAGAAAAAACCAGATGAATAAAAACCGAAATAAATAAAAAAAGACAGTAAAAAACTCCGTTAATATTGACA